TGTCTGTGTTAATTGGTTTCCCTTTTCTTTGTTGAAGAGGGTCTGTGCAATCCTTCTGCCTAGTCCGCCATCTTGCCCCACCTTCTCCTTAAATCCCGAGGTGGTAAATCTTTATGGAAGTAGATTACCCAGTCTTCTTCCCCAGAGTGGATGGGGGGTTTGGACCGCCAACCTTCTGGTTAGCAGTCAAATAAATGCCTTAGGCAGTATGCCACCAGCACCCCTTATTAGAAGGCAGTATAACGTGTATGATGAATTAAAAAAACATTTAGAAATTACTTGCTGTGCTCCAATTCCTAGCTTGTTTAATAATTAAAAAGAATATAAATGTGTAGAAATTCTTGCTTTGTTATCAGAAGCCTGATTAAAAGATGCCTTTTTTGCCAACCTAGGTGACAGTTACGTTATCACTCTTGTCATTAGGAGTGCAGTGATGCAATTGATAGGTACTGTGAAGAGTACAATATGTAAAAAGCAGAAACCAAATTACTTGCTCCAATAAGATTTCCTAAATCTTTGTGGTTAGGGTGGTAAAATGGGGATGACTATTGTATAATCTTAGAGTTGCAGCTTTTCCATTTATCCAAACTTTTGTGTATGTGTGTTTAAAAAAATTTTTTTTACAATATAATTGATTTCATAGAATTTATCCTTTTAGAGTGTAAAATTCAGTGTTTTCAGTATACTTACAAACACCCAGACATTTTAAAACTGAATAGAGGAAGGAAACACATTTTTTTTTAATGTTCATTAATTTATGTCCATAATTTACATGAAAAGTTATAAAGGCTTTATTTTTAGAATAAAAACTAAGTGAAGCTGGTATAAACCCTAAGAGGCCCACTTATACACACTGATCACCAGGTGGTTTTTTCTAGGTAATTTTAGGAGAATAACTATAATGCTTTTAAGGTTCCTGACACATTTTTGAACTCTTTTATAGTTATTCTTTGTTTCATGTGATTTAATTTCACATTTTCCCTGAAAGATAATGCCAATTATATGAGTTATGTTGTTAGGAATAAGGTTAAATACACTTTGAAAATCTGGAACTCTTAAGAGAATGCTCATTCAGCTAAATTGGTCCCAGAAAGTTGTTATGAATTTTGTACACTGTTTCCCATCTTTAATTAAAGGGATGCTTTCATTTTTGAAGGTTAACACCTAAAATTGGTTTTCCTTGGAGTGAAATAAGAAATATTTCATTTAATGACAAAAAATTTGTTATAAAGCCAATCGACAAAAAGGCACCTGTAAGTATTATTCTTCCATATTTTTATTCATTACCTAAATATTTGCCAGTTTGCTGTGATGTCACTTGAAAAATTACATTGTTCATTTACTGAATTGCTCTTGAGATACCTTCTCTTTCCACAGTTTAACTTTCCCAATGAAGATACAATGAAGGTTATTTAAAAAACAAGATTTAATTTTTTTTCTGATAAATAATTTTTATAAAATTTTAAAACAGGAAGAACAATACTATATTCCTTACAGTAATATAATGCATAATAATATATAAACAAATGTATGGAAATGATAAACATGAAATTCAGAATAATGTTTTTACCTCAGAATGTGATAGAACTTTATGATAGAAAGTATGTAATCGGAAGGGGTATATGGGAAACTTTAATAAATAGTTAACTTTTTTTCTTTTTTTAAGCTAAGAGTAGGTCCATGGGCATGTATTTTGTAATTGTCTATGCTTTTTTGCTGTCGTTAAATATCACATGATAAGGTTTAAAATAAAGTATCACTTTACACTTATAGGATCTCTGATCTCCTGCCCTTTAATTGCATTAGTACTATTTATTGAGAGCTATTAGTGATTGAGGCATATTTGAATAACTACTTTCCAGTTATGTTAAAAATAATGCATATAAAAATAATACCTAGATGTATTTCTTCTTTTCTGTTGCAACCTCAAAATAACAACCAGAAGACTTTAACAGCATAGCTGTAGATGTAGCCACATGGCCTTCCAAAAAGACTTTGCAAATTAAGATGTACTCTGGTAGCATAGTGCCTAAGGCACTCAACTGCTAACCAGAAGGCTGGCGGTTCAAACCCACCAGCCACTCCTCGGAAGGAAGGTTGGGCAATCTACTTCTGTAGTGATACTGCCTCGGAAACCC